TCTTCAAACAATTTAGTTAGACAAATGGCTACCTGGATACAAATGTTCATTCTTAAAGACGTCGATCTTCTTTCCTTGGTCATGTTATTTTAACTTAAATCTTCAAAATTGCTTTATGAAATAAACACGTTTGATTTAGTTCAAAGGCTAAACAAGGCACAATGCTGAACTTCACAATGCCAGACTTATGTTGAAAGGGGCCAGTCAGAATGCATTCTGTCAAAGCAAAAGGGTTCACTGAGATTGATCTTCACAAATTGAGCCCAGTGGGAAGGGTAACTGAGAATGATCTTCATATACTGCACCCAGTGGGGAGGGATCACTAAAATGATCTTCACGAATTGCACTCAGTGGGAACGGGTCACTGAGAATGACCTTCACATATTGAACCCAGTAAGGAAGAGTCACTAAGAATGATCTTCACATATTGAACCCAGTGGGGAAGGATAACTGAAATGATCTTCATGCATTGCACAAAGTGGGAAGGGGTCACTGAGAATGATCTTCACATATTGAACCCAGTGGGGAGGGATCATTGAAATGATCTTCACATATTGAACCCAGTGGGGAGGGGTCACTGAGAATGATCTTCGCATAGTGAACCCAGTGGGGAGGGATCATTGAAATGATCTTCACAAATTGCACCCAGTGGGGAGGGGTCACTGAGAATAATCTTCACATATTCCACCCATCCGGGGAGTGGTGACTGAGAATGATCTTTACTATACACTGACCCAAGAAGGGAAGGGACAGTGTTTCTTCTCAGAAGACAAATGTATCACGATGACATCTAAAAACTAATATGGTTCACATCCTGTGATAACCAGCCAGTTACTGACAAGCGTCAAGCAGTGTGGATTGATTGTGACGTCTCTTGTCCAACCATCTTGCTACAGGATGGGAGCCATTTTGTAAGAATTTCATACTGTGACATGTCAGCAAGACCAGAATATGGACTTCTGCATAGTCTGCCCACCCAATCCACAACATGTTGATTTTCACAAGTAGGAGAAAAGAGGATATATTCACATGCTGAATCTGTAGAAAAGAAAACATGGACTAGTGCTGAATAGTTAATAGATTTAACTACTAAATGATATTAGCTCATATTGTTAAAACTCAGCAGTCTACATGAAAGCTCAAATATTACCAACTGCAAAAACTGTACACAAAATTCTGTTAAATGCACTGTAATCACATAAGATAATTTTTTACGAAAACCCTAAAGCATATTTAGGGAAAAAGAAATAATTAAGTCCACAATGAAAAGTATTTTTCACAAATTTGTTCTTTTTTAAAGTATTCATGTGAAGTGGATCACATCAAACAATATTACTTCATGGAAAGCCATTCCATTTTAAAAACCTCACAAAAATACACAGTTAAGGTTTTTACAAAGGCCAATCAGATATATTGATTATTTACCATTTTTCCAAATCATCAAGCAATGCCTCAGCTCAAGTCAAACCTAACAGACTGACTCCATTGTATTCCAATCCTGATCCGTAAGATCCGTTTCATAAATCACCAAACAAATCTAAAGCTCAGATGTGAGAAGCCAATTTTCTCCACAGGGTAATACATTCATCTCACAAAGACTGAAACAAGATCTCAGGACAGTAATATTGTCCAAAACTTCTGAATTGGCTTTTCCTCCACCATTTACCAGCCTTTTGAGGAACTTGAGCATGTGACCATTCTAAAATATTCATGTGCAATATTTTCAAAGCTCAGGAAACAGTGGCAGACAATAGGACTTCCCATGTGGAATAACCTTTCTCTGACACAATTTACTGTAAACAGTTTTCCACACAACTTATTATACCAGTAAAAACATTACCAGCAAGGCCTGACGGGAATATGAGGTCATATCCTGAACAGTCTATCAACATTTTCTTGTCAATTAGATTTGATCACATCAAACCAAAATGGTCAACACTGTGGATGGACTGGCACTGCGTTCCGGCATGATCAATCTTTTGCTGTGGTCTCATTTCCTTGCAAACGTGTTATACTCATAAACATCTGATGAAGAATTTGGCTTGATCAATTCATTAATGATTGTCGCCAGTGAGACAGAGTCTTACTTCGGTAATTATATCTCAATTTTGCGGAAGAGTTTTCTTCGACTGCCGGACGAATAGTTCTTGACGATTAACTTATTATTACAAAATAAGTGGCGATGAAACCGTCGGGATGTTCCCATTCACAAAATTATTGATGCAGTCCGGCGTGATGAGGTGTTTTTCACAGTTTTCATAGCTGAATTATGGTATGGATAATTTGATTAACTTGAAGACATCAGTCTAAGGAAAAATGATCAGGGGGAAAGTTCTCTGAAGTGCACCAAGCAAAGGTGCCAAGTTCCACATTTCCAATAATTGCCGGTATCATTAAAGCTTGCTTGTGTTCTTTCTATGTTGAATCAAGGCTGTTTTGTTTAGGGATGTAAAACTGGTTGAATGAAGGATGATTTTGTGTAAGAATGTTTGCCCAGTTGAGATTTGGTGAACACTACCACCTCACATAGTTTAGTACACTGAAAGTTTAGACAAAAGTTTAGATATTCAGGTGATGTTAAATAGTTATATTTACCAAAGAGAACGGCATTATGACCTGGTGAGGGAGTGAGGTTTAAAGTCACATTCAAAATGATTTACTGATATAAAAACAAGAATGTGAGTGAGTGAGTGAGCCAGTATTACTGAGACAACCTGCAGCAGTTTAACATGACCACCCTACCTAGTCACAGTCACTGTCTCAGTTCTCACTAATCCGTATTTTACCCTCTTATGCCAGGCAGGGTAACAAGAAGTACCCTCTTAAAATATCAGGAGGTTAAATCCCCAACCTTCCACCCTATCCAATAGACCACAAAGACAGTCTTGTGTATATGAGAGACTCCTTGTCCAGACCTATACAGGTTTTCTAGAGTTGTCCCAATGAGACACCATACATTAGTTTGGTGGAATGGACCCCGGGCATTATCTAGGATCCCAAACCAAGTAGCCCCCACAGACAATGTTGGAAAATATGTTATGTTCAATACTGTTAGTTATTCCAAGTTCTTTATTCCATGTTTGTGAAGATCAGATGTAAATGCAGCGGTGTGCAGTGAGGCCTCTACCTGTTGCTGGTCCATGGAATTAGTCCTTTACATTAAGCCAGTACAATAGCTATGACAATATGACATGAGTTTGATTTTAAAATTTAAGGCCTTTTTTATCATTACCTAGTTTACGGATTCGTCGACCCGAAATGTGAAGAAAGTGGAAAAGAAACAATATTGTTTTTACTTTTTCTTTTTGCCATTATATGCCGACAACCTGATAATAAACAAAGTAAGTGATAAAAAAAAAAAAATTTAAAGAAAAAATAGCAAATTATACTTTTCAAATATTCCCTGAAACTATTTTATATTTTACAAAAGACAATCACACAAATCGTCAGAACTCACAACACCACGATATACTCAAGTGTGCAAATAACATCTCCATCTTTCCTTTCCCCCTAACCCCCATCCCTCCCTACCAACCTAATAATATTTGTTTTAAATCCATAAACCTAGTAATTAAAAAAAGGCCAAACTGGGGAACTATTTTACTTTGATTAGTGCCTGTGCAACAGTGTAAGCCTGAGCAAGGAAGCCTCTACCTGTTATTGGGCTATGAAATTAGTCACTAATATAACCCTGAACATTAGCTACGACCATATGACACGAGTTTGATTTTTAAATCTAATTTAGGATCTATTTTACTATGCCTGTGTTGCATCCCCAATTTAATAATTTCAAAGCCATAAAAGTCATCTAATTTAAAGTAAATTTCACAAGATGCCAAGAACAATGCTCAGTTTCAGCTGTAGCAATCCACACTTGCCAAACCATTCTAGACTTGCCTTGGATGTCGTTTATAATATATTCTCCAGGGTGTGGAAGGCAGACAGAAATGATGTTGAGATGTCAAATGGGAATGTACGAAATAATATACAAGAACAATAAAGGCATGATTCAGAGTTCACATCGAATAAAAGTCAAACATCACAGAAAAGCTACAAACCTGATAATTTAATATTAAAAGTAATAAAAGCTGATTTCCTTGAGGAATGCGATAATTATAATGCTGTTAAATTAATCTGATTAAAAGTGTTCTTCACACATTTTGGTTTTATAGTCAATGGGCTTTGATGAAAGTAATTTCAGAGAAGTTTGAAATATAAATCATTTTCTCGATTATTAATATTAAGCCTTATTCATAAAACAATTGTTGCAAATTCCTACAAACATCAGCAATTATTACTGATTAAAATAATGACATGCAATAAATTATAGATTAATGTACGACAAAGCTTTTAAAATAAATATTCTACAATGGAATATATTTTTCTCTATGATTGCTCTGGACACTTATTGTGAAACTCAAAGAGTGGTAAAAGTGTAATCTTTGGGCTTCTAAAAAATAGCTGGGATTGTAGAGCACCAAGGGTGGAGTTTCCTGAGTTACAGAGCTAATTACAGAGTTAATTACAGTATGAACTCATAGCTGACCACATATTCTTGGAGAAACAAATTTATAGGTCCTAAACTGTTTCGAGAAGCATGTTTGGAGTTTTCTGGAGGAGCTACATTCTCAGTTTAAGAAGTTCAGAGTTTTCTCGAGAACAAATTTGTAGGTGAAGAAGCTGGCCTGACAGTTCCAGAGGAGGAAGCAAGTTTGCCATTTTCTGGAGAAGCCAGTTTTTATTCTAAAAAACATAGTTGAGGTTTTCTCGAGAGATAGGTTTGGCATGTTCTTGTGAGGCAAGTCTGAAGTTTCCCAAGCCAATTTGAAGTTTTGTAATTCAACAAGTATGGACTTTGGAGTGTTCAAGAGAAGCAGGTTTGTACTTCTAAAAGCAAAATTTTCAAGAGGACAAAGTGAGGAATTTTCTAGTGGTAGCCAGGCATATTAATAAGCATGTTAGTCTCCCCTGGTAAATCTACTGCAGACTTGACGACTTACATGATCATGGCAGCTCCCGCACATTATGCTGATCTAGACGGCGCCACCAACTCTATCTGAAACACAGAGACATAGCATCAGTATCATGGAACACCAACATCAGCAACAGCAACAGCAACAGCAGTGAACCTGCTGCCACACAGAAAATCTATCTCCATGTGCACATGACATGCCACACAAGGACAGAGCCAGACCGTGGAAATCAATGACAGGTCACGCATCGTGAATCATCTCGGAATACCTTCATCATGGATATCACATTGTTTCTAACTTTAATATCGAATATGCATACACAAACCAAGGTTCTGGAGTTAAAAATTAGACACAATTCGAACCTTATTATAACAGGCAAGGGATCATGGGGCATTCGAGTTTCATTCTCAGTTAAGGTGATCATACAACCGTAGTTGCCTTCTGGGCTGCTAGACTGAGTGAGTGAGTATGGTTTTACGTTGCTTTAGCAATATTCCAGCAATATCATGGCCGGGGACACCAGAAATGGGCTTCACATATTGTACCCATGTGGGGAATCAAACCCAGGTCTTCGGCGTGACGAGCGAACACTTCAACCACTTGGCATCCCTACCACCCATGTATGCTAATAGAAGGTTAACAGCTATGTTACCATCTCATCCAGTCCTTATTTACCAAGTAGCTCTATGGCAACAAATACATTCCACGTAACCTCTGGTAATATGAAGATGTCAAGCCAGTAGTGTGGGTAGCCATGGTAATCAATTTCTTATTAAACTATGTACATGTCATAGCACTGGTCTTGCAATCGTATATTTTGTTAGACATTATTTTTTCACAGCAAATTTTAGTTTATGTTTCAAATGTCACTATCATGGGCAGTTTTCCCGTGTCTTTTTTTGCATCCATTACCTCAAAATCGCATCAGCCATCACTATTATTTCCCACGTAAAATCATCTGAGATACAGTTGTTTCTAGTTTGTCAAATAAAAAATCGTAAAGTCAACGAAAGTTAGAAGTATATAAACTTCAAACATTGTTATTATTTCATGAAACCTAAGAGCACTGCACTAAGCATCAAAATGTTTATTGACACAGATAATGAGTTATATGTTTGTATCTACTTATATGATGTAATATAATTCCGTGATCACAAGGTCTGTTTTCAACATAGTCATTTGTAGACTGAATTTTTTTACAGTAGACATACTGGATTTAGGTTGCATTGGCAACTGTTCTAGTTGCAACTTTGAGGCCTCTCACCCTACTGGGTACCCATTCACTGCTGAGAGAAGAGATGCTTTGGTTTAAGAGTTTAGTTTCATATAAAGACAAGCAATTATGGTCTATATACAACTGTGGAACATACATACATCAAGCCATTGATAAACTTTTAAACTGAATTATATAATCTTTTGCAATACAATTTTAATATGAATACATCTTGAGAAAAGATAGTGAAATGAAATATAATTCCTAAAATATCAGCAACTAGAATTACATTGCATCAAAATAATTAAAACTTACCTAATATATTTCTAAAAGAGAGCCAGAAATATGTTTAATTCAATAAAGTTCATATATTTCTCTTTCTTATATTATGAAAGCAAATCTGATTAAAGTCGTTAACTCTTTTCAATTAATGAAAATATGTCTCAACAATTTAGATATATTTTACAGAACTGTCCAAAAGGTCATTATAGCTGGCAGGACAAAGGCCATAGAAAGACAATATGAACACATTTGATACAATAGGAATACCGTAGCTTGATAAGTTGGGATCATTCCTATGTAAAACCCTACTCTCTATTCATGAATACATGCACTGTCAGGAGTTTAGATCACAGCTGTGAAGTATAGGTGCAAGGAGTTTGTGCATATACAAGAACATACAGTAACAGAGAGCAGACCGGGTACACTATATGGTAGTCTTGCTCCAAGACTGTACTGAAGGCTAAGCCCCTGGATGTGTAGTAATTCTATACTTAAAAGAGGCAAGTCAAAATAAGTGGAACATACATCTAAGGGCACCTGTCTGTTAGATGGATATTTCCATTTTTAAGAAATTAACATTTAAACTATTAATTACTACATCAGAGACTTGTGCAAGTCTGACAATATGGTAGAGATTCATGCTAATGCCTGGTTGGGCAGAGTTTGTATCTGGCTGGATACCCTAGTAGGTTTGACCTCAAAGAGCATCTATAGATTCCTTGCAATTTCTCATTTTGGAAATTTTGTCCAACATTACTTCAGTCATAGCTGTCCACAACTTCCGGCCCTTGTTTGAGGTTCATCATGGTACCTAAACCATTATCCATTCGGCCCAGCACTGCCTGTAAGACACTTTGCCAAATGAAGCAAGTCTTGGTTCAGAATCTCGCATCTCACTGGCGCTCTGCTTCAATTTAAATTTAATTTAGCGATTTCTCTTAAATCTATATTTTTTAGAGACTAGCATTTATCTATTCTGAGGCATGAAAATTCCACGAAGAATCCAAGCCCACAAAAGTCTATAAAATAACACCAAATTCTTCTGAAAATGATGCTAAGAGGAAGTTTGGGCCAAGATTTAAATGTTTTGGGGCACCAACTCCTAGTGTATAGTGTCTCTTAAAATGGGTGATGAAATGATATGGTGTGACTGTTTGTAAGTGCCTTTGATCACATGCGCATCCTTTCATCCTTCAAGAAATGGGTACCCGGTGGGAGGTGAAGGTAATGTGATTTTCAAGATTCAGCGCCAAGCATACTGGCCAAGGAATCTGTTCGCTCTCCAGGGAGAGCAGGAAGGTTCATGACTTTGATAATAGCTCAATTTGATATCAATGGACACAAGCTTTCCTTGATATCAGACATTACAGAAATTACATAGATTGATTGTTATTACTATGGCTGCTAATTATTTCTATTGTACAGCATGTGTTTGAACATGGTCACATGTTCGTTAGCAAATGACTCCCTCAGCTTATTGTTCAAGGGTTCCACTGTGGTAATATTGACAATGTGTATCAATAAACATGGACAACATTCAGCCAAAGACACGAACGCTCAGAACTAATTTGTACACGTTTTTTTCAAATATTTGATCGCACTTCGTTAACAGAAACGGTATTTATTTAAACATACGTTAATCTACCTATAATAATCCTCCCTTCTGTAACAATATTAACATCCGTCTTCAATAATCCATGAGGACCTGTCCAACAAATGCCTGAACAGGCAAAGTGAGATACATTGTAGAATATTCTGAAGAACTTGTTGAGGAGAATCACTTTAGGATGAATGAGTGAATGCTAACTTAACAGCAAGACCATGAAGGCCTGGAGGTAATGAAGTCAACCATATAATGTGTATCCCCTGTCCCCAGAAGCAGCCCTGTCTTTTCCTGAATGCGGGGTGGTGGGGTAGCCTAATGGTTAAAGTTTTCTCTCGTCACACCGATTACCCTTGTTCAATTCCCCACAAGGGTACAGTGTGAAGCCTATAGCTATTTTGGGGCGGTGGGGTAGCCTGATGGTTAAAGCGTTTGCTCGTCATGCCAAAGACCCGGGTTCGATTCCCCACATGGGTACAATGTGTGAAGCACATTTCTGGTGTCCCCCGTCGTGATATCGCTGGAATATTGCTAAAAGCGGCGTAAAACCAAACTCACTCACTGTTAATGTATGGCACTTACGACTATCTTAGCGCTAAGAGAGCTTCGAAAATCTAGGCCCAGAATATCTCATGGTTGACATCATGTGCAAGGATGGACACAACTGGGATACGACATTCACCAACCAAGTCACCAGGCCTACTCATCCACTTGAACAACCAGACCACTTGGTCTTCTACAACTCTTAACATTCAACAAAACACAATCGCGGCCACTTTGTGCACTGAGGTGCTCGACGCAGCTGGCTGGTGATACATTACTACATGCATGTTTACAAATGTTGCATTGACGATGCAGACAAGGCTTCGTTGGCTTGTCACTGTAGCATAACTAATATAGCATCAAGAGGGGCTCTGCTCAAACTTGATGTAGTTGTCAACAGAAATCATTCATATATTCCTTCATAAAAATTCAGTTGTCATCATGAAACATAAATCATTTAAAGTGGCAGTTTGTAGGCACACAGCTACACTGAGTGAGTGAATCCAATCTAGGTACTGAAGTGACATGCCAATGCATAAACACTAAACAACACTATTCTACCTGACCACAACCTATCACCATCCACACAACTGAACACCCCACTCCATCTCCGCTGCATTTGAAACTGATTGAGACACATACAGGCCTTTCTATCATCACATGATGAAAGGTGTCCCCAGTTATACATGAGATACTTCTGTGAACATGTTGATAATAAGTCCCTAGGAAAACGGCACAACTGCAACTGTTACAGTTATTATTATATTCACAGTAATTGTTAAATACGCTTAACTATTAAGTTCACTGTAACTGATAAATTTACAATAATTGTTAAGTACACTAATTATTATACATACAGTACTTATTGAATACACAGTATCTGTTAATGACACTGTAACAGATAAATATACAATAATTGTTAAGAACACAGAAACTTTTAAGTACACTGTAATCAATCTATTTACAGTCATTGTTAATGCACTGTACACTGTAACTGTTAAGTACAGGATAATTATTATATTTACAGTAAATGTTAAATACACTGTAACTGTTAAGTACAGGATAATTATTAAATACACTGTAACTGTTAAGTACACGAAAATGATTAAATACACTGTAACTATTAAGTACAGGATAATTATTATATTTACAGTAATTGTTAAATACACTGTAACTGTTATGTACAGGATAATTATTAAATACACTGTAACTGTTAAGTACAGGATAATTATTAAATACACTGTAACTGTTAAGTACAGGATAATTATCAAATACACTGAAACTGTTAAGTATGCTGTAATTAATATATTTACCCTAATTGATAATGAACCAACATTGCTTAACCTCAACTGATTTATTACCTGTGCTCTATCCACAAGTCCACACACTGCCACTGATATATCTAATGGTTAAATACACTGTAACTGTTAAGTACAGGATAA